TGATAAATTATAAAACTACGCAAAAGAATTAGTATTTTATTTCATTTTTTTTTTGTCTTGACATTAAATCAACAAGTTATTCTTAGACTATATAAAATCATGTGTGCTTTGAAATTAATACTTGAAGTTCATCAATTTCATTGACTAAAACTTTACAAAAACAATAATACATGTGCATATTATTGTTACCAAATTTCTATAAATAAGTTGTTTACAAACAGTAGTTCATCAAAGAACACTGACTAAAATTTCCTATAAAAAAACAGCACATTTACATTATAATCAATTCCTGAAAGTCTGTAGCCTAGTTGAGATTACAAAAAAGCACGAGATGGACTAACAATTAATAATATCAAATGTTCTGGAAACGATACTTTCTGTGTGTAGCACGCTTTACATACTGAACTTTTCTTGTCCAATCTTCCGAGGCTGCTTAAAAGGGAAAACGTTTTACCCCTAATCAACGACTTATTAGTTCTACATTATGTTTTCAATATCACCATCGTCTCTACGCTTCGTACAAGCCACCATTTTCCAAGGACAAGTTTATATATACTTTCATTTTCAATTTTTGGATAGGTCGTTCTTGTATCGTTTCGTACCGATATTTGAATGCTTGTATCGTAAACCATATCTTAGAGGAAAATATCGATATGTATCGGTGTATCGGTATATCGTCCCACCCCTAAATGATACATCTTAGGATGCACACTAATGGACTTGCTTTGGATGCTGAATTCGACTTACATTTTCCAGATAATGAACCAGGTAAAAGTTCTGGGTGCAGGTCTATTACCAAGAAACTGTAAGGCTTATATAAACCAAACTTGTACAAATGATGCATCAAGGGATGAAAACTCTCAAACTTGCTTCAGATGCTGGATTTTAATTATGTTTTCATGATAAATAACTAGTTTGAAGTTTTATATAGGTCTATTCGTAAGAATCAGATCAAAAGTGCATAAATTTTGTATTTTTGGATGTACACCTTTTGTTAGTTAATTGTGTGACTTTGCCGTACTTAAAAACAACATTCGTTGAGGTGAGCCAGGGGCGTAGCTAGACAAAAATGATCTGCACGCCAAAAAAGGCAGGGGGTCTGGGGCCGCCTTTCAAGAGGCCCCCAGTGGGTCCAGGGCGAAGCCCTGGTGGGGGCCCAGGGGGCGAAGCCCCCGGAAGCTCCTGGGTTTTCACGTTTAGACTGCACAAAATTTACGCAATTTTTAAATATATAACATATGCTACGGAATGAAGTCAACTTCGCGATATTTTGATTTATGACACCAAAAAATAATAGATCTATTAATATTTAAAAAATATTAATGTTTTTTTTTTTTAATAAAATCAAGTGCATTGTCTGAATTTTTGTGATTACTTTAAAAAGGTATTTTTAGTTCCATTTTTTGTCTAATTTTTAAATAATGAAATTAAAACAAAACAATTTCAATCCAGCAAATTTAATTTCCCCAAAACGTGCGGCGTCATGTTTCGTGTATTAACTATAGGTATTACATATATAACATTAGGCCTGCAGGCATAGTAAGTTTACACGGAATCTTTTAGGAATTTAATTTTTTATATGACGATATAATCAATTTTTTAATAATAAATTTTATAAAAATGAACAGTAATTTTTTTTTGGACTAAAAGATGTGCACGCCATGGCGTGCTGGCGTATAGGCAGCTACGCCCCTGTGAGCTCTGTAATCTCTGATTACCTATGTTTGACAGAGTTATGCCCCTTGGACTTCGAAAAATTCCAATTATTTGCAGTTTCCGTTCATTTTCTTCACAACAATTGCACATACTGAAGTGAAATTTGGTATACAGATATATCAGATGAATATCTAGGTCATGTTTTGTTTTGGGTTCGGTCGCAACATTTTTGACAGAGTTATGCCCTTTTGGACTTTTAAAAATTCCAATTATTTGCAGTCTCCGTTCATTTTCTTCACAGAGGTTGCACATACTGAGATGAAGTTTAGTATACAGATATATCAGATGAATATCTAGGTCAAGATCTGTTTTGGGTACGATCACGCCATTTTTGACAGAGTTATGCCCTTTTTGACTTTCAAAAATTCCAATTTGGGGGGAGGGAGGCATAAGTGTTTTACAAACATCTCTTGTTTGATATTGAATTCTCTATTATTACCTTTTCTTTGCAGGCCATCTTGGTAGGGGATTATATTCTCTCTGTGTCCTCCATGCTTCTGGCCCAGCTACGGAATGAGGAGGTGGTCAAAATACTGTCTCAGGTCATCGAGGATTTAGTCAGAGGTTAGATTGAAAGGAGTAGTCAGGCTGCTATAACATTTTTTAGCTTCTTAAGCATAAACATTGACTTAGTTATCTTAAGTATAAGTTTTACTCTATTTGTCTCTTGATTAAGCTGGGTAACTGACTAATCTGTTACTATTGATTGTAAATCTTCATCCTTCTTTTATGAATATTTTTATTGTCTTTGTTCAACACTAGACCATTCAACCCAATTGAAAAACCTCTGTCACATTCCATTACATAATGAAAAAAAAAACATTTATATGTAAGCAATTTGTCACTATCTGTTGTTGCACCCTCATGTACTAAGCCTTATGCTCAGTACACTGTCTTGTTAAAATCTGATTAAAAGATGCATTTACCCATTTTCACAAGAAAAGAGGTGCAAAGCAGTCTTATCAATCCAAAAATTTTGGGTTGAGTTTTAATTATGATAAAAGTCTTATTAGTTAGTAGTTAGTAAGTTACTGCTTTTTTTGTCTTAAATTTTGGCGTATAATTTTACCTCAATATTTTCACAGGGGAATTTATGCAGCTAGGATCAAAGGAAAAACCAAACGATAGATTCAACCATTACCTGAAGAAAACCTACAAGAAAACTGCAAGTCTTATGGCAAACAGTTGTAAAGCAGTGAGTATTGGTGTGTAGATAACTTGCAACAGGAGAAAAATATAAACAGAGCTTTCTATTGCTCAGAGAGTGATCCTTGTCTATATCTTTCATTGCATCACAATGAGGTAGTATTAATAAGTACCATAAGCATTATAACATTACAGCTACATGGAAAAATATTCACTTTGCACAAAGTGGAGAATAGGGTTCATTTCCACAATGGGAATGAAGACATTAGAAGGAGACAAGAATGTTAAAGATAATAGATTTGAAAAACTTGTACATGTACATGTATAGTAAAAACCACTTTCTTTTTCAGGTTGCTGTTTTAAATAACTGTAGTGAGGAGATAACTCAGGTAGCTTTTGAATATGGACGAAATATAGGAATGGCATTTCAGGTAACTACATGTACATGTTACTTATGAATCTTATGAAACTCATGATGCTCAGGTTACTGTAAGGGCCCATAAGCCTTTGTTTTTTAAAAAGTGAAAAACTGGCAATATGAAGTGTCTTAATCTTCTAAGACTCTGAAAAATATTAAATGTCGTGTCATATATCAACAACAGAGTGACAGAGTCTATTATTTGTAGCTGATAGACGACCTGCTAGATTTTACATCCCAAGAGAGCATTATGGGTAAACCCACAGCTGCCGATCTAAAGCTAGGGCTAGCTACTGCTCCTGTCCTATACGCAGCTCAGGTAAGATCCCATCAAGAAAATATTGTAGTTGAATATATTCATTTTTACTACAGAAATAAATGCTACAGTTTTACAACCTGTTATTCAACAAATAAACTTTAAAAAGTAATACATGTAATTTATTTGATGTGAAAAATTAGATATGAAAGTAGGAAACTTCTGAGATACTGTATTTTCATTTCAGTATAAAAATGTTAACTTTATACTCGGTGTACATGAGATTTCCTTTTTTACAGGAACACCAAGAACTAAATGCATTGATAATGAGACGTTTTTGTCATGAAGGGGATGTAGAATTAGCCAGATCCCTAGTTGCCAAGGTAAGTTTAAATCCCCTTTAAAAAATCCAAACTTTAAAAGATTGTAATAAAAATGTTTTGGGATATATATTTAAGATATTTGAAAACATGTCTTTATATTAAAAAATAATGCTCTAGTTGAGAATTATATTGACACATCAAACATCTATCCTTACAGCTATCTCCCCTTACAGCTACTATATCTATTTTTTCAGAGTGATGGTGTCTACCAAACTAGAATGTTAGCTGAAGCTCACAGTGCTGCTGCCATAAAATTACTATATGAACTTAGACATTCTAATGCTAGGGATGCACTAGAAAATGTGGCCTCCCTGGTACTAAGCAGGACAAAATAACACAGAGGAACTTAGGGGACCTTATTCAATTGTGATTATTGTTACATGTATAATAATATTGTTAGTCTTTTGTATGACCCGTTTTAACAAATTGCTTGCAATGTCCTAGCATATATATTTTTCCCTTTTTTTTAGAATATTAAATTATGTTAAAGAGCAAGATTTTTTCTCATTTTTCTGGATAAACAAGTGATTTAATACCGTTTTTTTTTAATTATTTTTGAATGATGGAGAAAGTATGATTTGACATAGTTTTTGCAGATTTTTGAGAATTTATAATTTATTCACAAAAATCATGATCCTTGTTCAAGAACTTTCACAAGTTATAAAAAAAATTATATTAAAAAAAAATTAATAACATATATACTATATATTTAAGGAATCACTTGCGTATTATACTAACTAGACAGGGATTCCTTATATAATGTATAAGTAATTCCATTTCATTGTGAAATAAAGTTTTAGATTTACTCACTCAGATTTTAAAAATGTAGACATAGACTTAAATTACACGAGGCCTCCCAAGTCCTCACCCACTGACATCAAACACAAAGACAGCCTCGTGAGATTTACATGCGTATTTGGCCTCCTTAGCGTCAGACACAAAGACAGATGCGCACAAGATTGGCATGCATAGGCCTCCTACGCTCCTTACCTATCAATTTGCCTAATATTTACATTCCGGTAGAATTATCAAGAAATCAACTCCATTAACTTTCAAAGAGATATCACAGAGAAAACAAACAGAAATGGAAATATTTATTGTTTCATCTTTTCTTTGACTACATTAATCAGTTCTGGAAATGTGCTGTTCATGAAGTGACCTTTATCAGAGTATTTTCTGAGGTCAGTACCCAGTTGGTCAGCTACAGTTTGTTGCTCCTCCCAGGGTATAAAGGGGTCATCAGTGGACCCAAACTGTACCACAAAGCCCGAGTTAGCCTTGATTTTTGTCCACTCCCAGGGTCTGCTGTAGTACCCACTGGCCCGCTCATTCTCATCCCCCAGGTCTGTGACACATGCTATAAATGAATTGTACATCTCTTCTGGAAACCTCTTTATTCAGTACATATTCATAAGTTGCAATGTAAATGTCCCCCAGGATTGACTATGGACTATTAAATTCATAAGTTACCTTGGAGAACTTGGGTTCTCTTTGTTCCTACTAAATGAGTATGTATGTATTTACATTGTGAGTAATTTTAATTCCATGATTATGTACCTTTATCCAAAGACGACATTTATTGGTTGAAGTAATGTCTTCTTTTCATAATAAAATATTTGCAGGATGCACAAGTCTTCTTTTCATGATAAAATATTTACAGGATGCACAATTACGTATTCTATCAAAGCATTGTGCTTTTACTATCAATTGCTAAAGTTTTGTTTAAATGAAGTACCTGACACTAAAATGATGCCCTTGACCTTGTACTGTTCAGCGAATCTCATAGCTGCTTCTGCCCCTGAACTATGACCTATGATAATGGTGTCCTCATTGCATTCCAACTTGTCACGCATGAATGGAATCCAGATGGACTCCCTTGCTGTGATGGGATCAGGCATATTCTCTAAACTACAGGTTACATTCTCTAATTTGTTTATTTGCTTGTATGCCCATCCATACCAGTTGGCATGAAAAACATCACCAGCACCATTTCCAGGAATGATTGCAGCCTTCATTATGCCTTTAAAAGAGATGCATGTATATATTTTGTTTACAAGGCTTACTTTTTTGTGACTATTAAATGTGCAGCCCAATGGAAAGTGAATAGATAATTACAAATTGAAACATAAATGCCAAAACTTAAAATATTAATGATTTGAAATTAGTTTATGATTGTAAATTTCTAATTCATCAATTTTGGCTATGCTTAAGGTTTCAACATGATCTAATCTAAGGTCATTTTGGTCAAGGTCTCTGATAGAAAAAGTAAAATAACAAGATGTATTAGTAAACAAGAGGCCCATGGGCTCACCTGAGAAGCTTTGACCATTCCGTTCTTTACCAGATTTCCCCTTGTAATACATATTGTGACCCCACCCTACCCAACTGATCATAATTTAAACAATTTGAAATCTACACTACCATAGGATGCTTTGATTCAACATTGTAAAACTTTGATTCCCCATTGTGGCCCCACCCTACCCCAGGGGTCATGATTAGAACAATTTAGAATCTACTACACTACCCCAGGATGCTTCCAAATAAGTTTCAGCTTTTCTGGCCCAGTGGTTCTTGCGAAGAAGATTTTCAAAGATTTTTCCTATATATTACTATGTAAAACTTTGATTCTCCATTGTGGCCCCGCCCAACCCCCGGGGGTCATGATTTGCATAATTTAGAATATACACTACCCCAGGATGTTTCCACATAGGTTTCAGCTTTTCTGGCCCAGTGGTTCCTGAGTAAAACATTTTCAAAGATTTTTCCTATATATTTCTATTTAAAACTTTGATTCTCCATTGTGGCCCCGCCCACCCCCTGGGGGTAATGATTTTAACAATTTAGAATCTACATTACCCCAGGATGCTTCCACATAAGTTTCAGCTTTTCTGGCCCAGTGGTTCTTGAGAAGAAGATTTTCAAAGAATTGTCCTATATATTTCTGTGTTAAACTTTGATTCCCCATTGTGGCCCCGCCCTACCCCTGGGGGTCATGATTCTAACAATTTAGAATTTTCACTACCCCAGTATGCTTCCACGTAAGTTTAAGCTTTTCTGGCCCAGTGGTTCTTGAGAAGAAGATTTTTAAAGATTTTTCTCATATATTTGTGTAAAACTTTGATCGGCCATATTGGCCCCTCCCATCCCCCGGGGGTCATGATTTTAACAATTTAGAATCTACACTACCCCAGGACGCTTCCACATAAGTTTCAGCTTTTCTGGCCCAGTGGTTCTTGAGAAGATTTTTAAAGATTTTTCTAATATATTTCTATGTAAATCTTTGATTCCCCATTGTGGCCCCACCCTACCCCCGGGGGTCATGATTTTAATAATTTAGAATCTACACTACCCCATGATGCTTCCACATAAGTTTCAGCTTTTCTGGCCCAGTGGTTCTTGAGAAGAAGATTTTATAATGACCCCACCCTATTTTTGTCGTTTCTTGATTATCTCCCCTTGTGAGGGAACTTGGCCCTTCATTTTAACAATTTAAATTCCCCTTTACCCAAGGATGCTTTGTACTAAGTTTGGTCAAAATTGGCCCAGTGGTTCTTGAGAAGAAGTCGAAAATGTGAAAAGTTTACAGACGGACAGACAGCTAGACGGACGACGGACAAAATGTGATCAGAAAAGCTCACTTGAGCCTTCGGGTCAGGTGAGCTAAAAACTGATGCTCCCATATGGAAACATAGCAAAGGTTAAATTTTCTCAAATGGTAATCAAGTATGTTGAAACACAAAGTACCCGGTAAGACCTTCTCACAAGAAATACAACTGTACAACTGTGAAATATGAAAGCCATAGCACCACCTGTTCAAAAGTTATGGACAAGTTTAAAGTATTTTAAAGGTAGGTCAAACTCCAGGATCATGGTCGAAGGGTCAAAGTCCTTGGTTTTTAAACAACAAAATCTTGACATAAGGATTACATATGTAAAGAATAAAAGCCCTATCCTAACCATTGAAAAGTTCTGGCCAAGGTTAAAGTTTTTTTTCCTAAAAAGTAGGTCAAACTCTAAGGTCAAAGTTGTTGGGATCTTATAAAAGGTCTTGTCACAAGGATTACATATGTGAAATATGAAAGCCCTAACCCTCACCATTCAAAAATTATGGCCAAGGTTAAAGTTACCGTATAAGTGGAAATTTTAGCGAGACGCAAATTTAACGATTTGTCCTTCAAAATGGGTATATAATTTTTAGCGAGAAGTAATTTTAGCGATAAGAAAAAGCTCACTAAAGAGGCCATTACATATAAAACGAAATTAATTTTTAGCGATATTCAATTTTAGCAATCTCAGCACCCTCGCTAATAATGCCAAAATTAAATCCTGCTTATACGGTATTTAAAAGTAGTTCAAACTCAAGGGTCAAGATCAAAGGGTCCATTTTGTTGGTATCCAATGGATGGCCTTGTTACAAGAATACATATGTGAAGTTTGAAAATCCTAGCCCTAACCGTTCAAAAGCTATGGGTAAAGTTAAAGTTTTTAAAAAGTTGGTTAAACTCTAAGGTCAAAGGGTCAAAGTTGTTGGTATCAAATGGAAGGTCTTGCAACAAAGAATACATATGTGAAGTATGAAAGGCCTAGCACCTACCATTTAAAATTAATGGTAAAAGTAAAATTTTGGAATTTTTGTATTAAAGTGTGTCAACCTCCAAGGTCAAGGCCAAAAGGTCAAATTTAGTGGTACCCAAACAAAGGAATACACAAGTGAAATATCAAAGCCGTAGTCCCATCCAGTCAAAAGTTATGGGCAAGGTTAACGTTTTTGCGGACAAACAGACAGCTGCAGACGGTCGGGCAGGGCAAAAACTATGTACATGTACCCCCAAATCTTCGATTACGGGGGCATAAACATGTTGGAAGTTGAAACTTCAAATAAAGCTTATTAGTGATTAAACAAATTTTATCAGTGATCCAAGGTCATCGGGGAAGTTCATGATCAGTGGCAGAAAAATCGGTAAAATGTAAAAATTAAGAAAGGTCATTGATGTCCACATTAAACTCAAGATTACTCAATCTTTTTTTAGCCAAGGTCATTTTGACAATATCAAGGCCACATTTACAAAATTTGTGAATGAGCAGTTCAATAAAATGTCACGGGGTAATGTTCTTTTGGTACCCTCACAGTGCCTTTATTTAGTTCTTTTACTCCCGAGGTCTTTCGATCATAAGTGCAAAAGACTTTTCAGGAAGCAGATAGAAAATAGTGCCCAGAAGTATATAGATGTATGAATTAAGGAATAACTGTCTTATTTTTCGAATTCATGAAGTGATCAATGGATTGGCCTGTGTGATAATTTGCATAAACGCCGAAGGCGTTTATGATATCCAATGAAATAAAATTATCACACAAGCCAATCCAAGTTTTATATTGATCATCTTCATGAATTCGAAAAATAAGACAAGTTAGGTCCGGGGGCCTTATATTTACATGCTTTGATTCCGCCAATCCACGGGCTCCAAGCCTGCTTCTCTCTAGGTGTTGTCCCGCCCTGCACGTGGTTTTTTTTTTGGAACCGCGCCAAGACATTCATGAGGAAATAAATTACACCCCGTGTATATATATACAATTGGTAATTTTATCTCGGACAAAGACATTGGAAATGTAAATATTGATCAAATAAATATCATTGTGAATATTGCAGATGACGTATCTATTTATACAATGCAAGTACATATGTATCTATTAAAACTATGTATTTGGTCTAGATGTGTTTGTGAAACACTGATGCCCCCGTACGGCAGCATAGTGAAGGCTAAAATTTCTCAAATGCAAATCAATTATATTGGTATCCAAAGTAAGGCCTTCTTACAAGAAATAAAATTGTGAAACATTATGAAAGCCCTAGAACAACTTGATTGTTGATATCCAATGAAATGTCTTGACACAGGGATTACATAGCCCTAGCCTTTACCATTCAAAAGTTTATGACCAAGGTTCAAGTTTTATATAAGAAGGTCAATCTCTAAGGTCAAGGTCAAAAGACAGTGGCGGATCCAGGAATTTCGTAACGGGAGGGCGCGGTAGATGACAGGGGGGCGGGGGCTGCACTGGTCCCCAGTGGGTCTAGGGCAAGGTCCTGGTGGAGGTCCGGGGGCGAATCCTCCGGAAGCTGACAAATTTTTACAAATAAGAGATTTTTTTCCTTGATTTTAGGATAATAGACAAATAAATTATATATACAAAAATTCAAACGGGGGGGGGGGGGGTCCTGGATCCGCCTTTGAAAGATCAAAGTTCTTGGTATTCAATGAAAGGTATTATCACAAAGAATATATATGTGAAGTATGAAAGTCCTAGCTGGGGCGTAGCTAGACAAAAATGATCTGCACGCCAAAAAAGGCATTTTGGGGTCTGGGGCCGCCTTAATGTAAGGTAAAAAGCAATCATGTATGTAGTTTAAAAGAAAGAGGCCCCCTTTACGATAAAAGTGGGTCCAGGGCGAAGCCCTGGTCGGGGGGCCCATGGGGGCGAAGCCCCCGGAAGCTCCTGGGTTTTCACGTTTAGACTGCACAAAATTTACGCAATTTTTAAATATATAACATATGCTACGGAATGAAGTCAACTTCGCGATATTTTGATTTATGACACCAAAAAATAATAGATCTATTAATATTTAAAAAATATTATATGAAAAAAATTATTTTTTGTTTTAATAAAATCAAGTGCATTGTCTGAATTTTTGTGATTACTTTAAAAAGGTATTTTAGTTCCATTTTTTGTCTAATTTTTAAATAATGAAATTAAAACAAAACAATTTCAATCCAGCAAATTTAATTTCCCCAAAACGTGCGGCGTCATGTTTCATGTATTAACTATAGGTATTACATATATAACGTTAGGCCTGCAGGCATAGTAAGTTTACACGGAATCTTTTAGGAAAATTTTTTAAATATCAAAACGGGACCTAATACATGTATATGACGATATAATCAATTTTTTAATAATAAATTTTATAAAAATGAACAGTAATTTTTTTTGGACTAAAAGATGTGCACGCCATGGCGTGCTGGCGTATAGGCAGCTACGCCCCTGCCTAGCACCAATCGTTCAAAAGTAATGGCCAAAGTAAAAGTTAAGTATTTTTGTAAAAGTGTCAAACTCCAAGGTCAAGGTCAGAAGGACAAATATAGTGGTACTTAAAGAAAGGTCTTTTCACACGCAATTAATACACCTTTGAAATATGAAAGCCATAGCCCCACCCAGTCAAAGTTATGGGCAAGGATAAAGTTTTTTGTGGGCAAACAGACAGACATACGAACAGACAGACGGACAGGACAAAAAACTATATAATTTTCAATTCATAAAAATAAAAAAAATTTGAGACGGTGGTAAAAATTAAAGCTATACATGGCATATTATCTAAGCTTAAAAATAATAATTCGAATTTGTGTGTAAATACACATGATATACGTAATTACGTTCAAATAATTTTTTTTCAAATATACTTTAACGTAAAACTTGGATTCCCTATTGTGACCATGCCCTACCCCTGGGATCATGATTTGGACAATTTAGAAATCTACAGTACCCCAGGATGCTTCCCATGAGTTTCTGTTTTGTTTGCGCAGTGGTACTCATGCGCGGATCCAGAGGGGGTCGGGGAGGGGGGGGTGTCCGGACCTGGAATTTGCAGAGTAATTAAATTCATATACGAAACCTAGTAAAAGTGACCTTGGACCCCCCCCCCTTCGAAAACAGTGACTCCCTCCTCAGAAACACGGATATATGTAATAATGGTATGAAAAGTTCCTTTGAATGAAGCATGCACTACCCCACTACCCCCCCCCTTTTTTTTTTGCTTGTCAAGAAATTTCTGGGTTGGAAATTATTTTTGACTGGGTTGGACCCCCCCCTGGAAAAAAAAATCTGGATCCGCGCCTGGTACCTGAGAACTGAGAAGATTTTAAAAGATTTTCCCAACAGCAATATTCAAAATATACTACAGCTGTATTTACAAAATTCATTCTAGAGCATCATCATTTAACCAACGAAAATGAATCACGTGTCTCAATCCAGAAAACTTTCATCGATGCTTGAAATATCTATTAATTAACTACCTGTAAGATTCATTCAGTAACCGTAATTGTTAACATTGTGATTTTTGCTATTTTTGTTCCAATAATCTCACAAATATGAAGATGTCACCATGGGACAGTAACTTTTTTTTTATAAGTGTAAAGGCATGGGACAAATACTTCTTTGAATACGAATGCCATTGGACATATAATTATTATTTATGAGAATTTTGTTTTGTACTGGGCCCATCAATTGTGATAAATTTTGACTGGTCCTTCGGTATTCTCCGTATTGCAGTGGGTTTCGTGCAGTAAAAATTGGCTAGTAGGATCGGTTGTAGGGACCCCCCCCTTCAAAAAAAAAAATCTGACAAGCAAAAAAGAAGGGGGAAAATTTTAAATGAACCTGCAGAATGGGGGAATATAATCTGATAAGCAAAAACATCGTATTAATTGTCCAAATCCTAAGGTTTGTCGGTGCTTGACCTCACAGCAATAAAAGGGGGAGGAGGACAGCGACCCCCCTCCCTGACCGCGTTCTACGGGTCTGTAATAAATCTTATAATAATTTACCGTTGAATCGGCAAAATCGTGGATATCCATAGTATTTTTTTAAAAAATCCCTCATATTACAATACTGTCACAAATTTTTTTAAATGTGAAATAAAGAAAAACATAGTTTTACAAAAAAATTCTAATTTGAAAACAAAAATTTGATTTTAAATATTAATTAACACATTTATGAATTATACATTGTGTTTGTATTTAATTTTGGGCAAATATCACTTAAATTCTCGTATAAATTTATCAATTTGCAAAATAAATTGCCAAATATATTCTAAACAATCAGGAAGTGTAAAAAAGAAAATAAAAAAAAAAATGCTACAACCAAAGAAATATCGATTTTTGGACATTCCTTTTGGTTGGATTAGTTCGTATCACGTGATATTTTTTTCTCACGCACATTTTACACAAGCTACAGCAAATAATCATGATTATGTCACAGTGTTAACGGTTGAATCACCGATATGAATGAAAAAACTATTATAATTGCGAGAAATAGAAATGATAACACCCTCAAAAAATAAATGTAAAGAAATATATTCATTAGAAGAAACGAAAGTAGTATTACTTCGGTTCCACGTGGTTTTGTTTTCAATGAAATCAGATTGCGCACGCATACATGACTAGGGACCCTGGGATTGTACTGACGGCCCGAAATGGCGGCCATGATGGATTTTCTAAAATTCGCGAAAAGTGTTTCTTAAACTGGAACTTATTAAGACTCGTATGAAAGAATGATTATTGTATTAAGGTTTGAACTAATGCATATTGTGATTTGAATTTGTAAAATACGCTTCTTAAAGAAGTTTAAACTGGTTTTGCCTTCAAAATATAGAAGGCTCTACGTGGATTGCTCATTAGCATATTTGAGGTCAGCAAGATGAGCAAGGTATCGTTTCGAGCTCGGGCGCTGGACGCCACGAGGCCAATGCAGATTTTCAAAGCAGACGAAGTTCCTGACCTACCAGATTTTGCAACTATCAACCGATCTGTTCCACAGATGCCAACAGGAATGGAGAAAGAGGAGGAAACGGTATGCTTCCTTTTGCGCCGTTTGGCGGTCAACAGTCCGCCATCTTGGATTTTTTGTGTATTCTGTCCAAGAGAACTGAAGGATCGTATTTTGACTGATATTATGATTAAATTACTCAATGAAAACTCCAGACATAGTTATTTTTGTTTATTTTATATGTCCAGGGGGCTTTTTTTGTAAGAAAATGAATGGAATGAATTGTTTTATTTTTAGAAGCCACGTGATAGTTTCTTTTCTCACTCCGAAAGTGAAAGTAGAAACATGGCATTTGGATCAAGTGGGAGATCAAATTTAACTTTTAGAATCGTTGATACAGAATTATTAATCAGTTTGATCGAAAGCAACTTAGGAAATTTTGCTGCAGATGTTTCAAATAACACAGTATGCAAAATGTGGTAATGGGTGTTTTTGTAGACATTTTATTTTAAACATGAATACTGGAGGCACAAGGACTGGGGGAATATACAAGTTAAATCAACCAGGACATCACCAGTTACTAATTTTTGCTAGATTACATTTTATCTTTTGGAGAAAAAAATGTGGAAAATAGACGGTTTATATTTTCTCTGCATTACATCCGTTTAAATGAGTAATGATGTATTCTTACAGGTGAAACCAAAGTATAATTGCATTGCTAATATGTTTCAACAATCCAGTTGTCATGTGAAAATGTGTAATGCTGGTCCATTGCTGGTATTAGCAAATGGAAACAGTAGATTTAAATATTTTTCAAAATTACTGTAGCTAGTCTTTTTTGTTAGTACTAAATTTATGCAGAGCTTTTATAACAATATTAGAATAAAGCAGCACCATAAGTTGGCATTACAGAAAAGGTTTATAATTGCAATTATACTTTCCTGAAGTCATTATTTATGCATATTGCAATCTATCTGTAGGAACACCATTTACAAAGAGCATTGTCAGCACAGCAGGTCTATGGAACTTCAGAAGCACTTGTCATTCCTATTCCTGAAGTGGATGATATTGCTGAAAATTATCATGAAATGTACAAGAATGACTTTAAACCCTCCAAGCAGTTTATTCACATACAAGGTAAATACAAGGTATTTTATGCTGTCATGGGTAACCGAAGTAGCAGAGAACTTTTGGACAATTAATTCGGGTGGGGTCCTGCTGCTTATGTTGCTTTTTGTTAGATTAAAAAAAAAATTGTTGAATAGAACTCAATGAGTTTTTATTCTATTGTATACCCTAAACCTGAAATTGAACCTAAATAATTTAGAACCAACCCGAGCCAGAAGATTATGGAACGGTAGAAACCTTTATAATTGTTGCAGATCAAAGGGTTATTGCATCCTTTAATGATGGCACTCAAATTTAAGGGGTTGTTTAATTCCATTTCCGTGAAAATACACTTTATATAGCCAAAAACACTAACATTATTTAAACTAAACTTGGTTGAATATCTAATGTTCTATAGTGGATTTTTTTCCCCCCTTAGCTTATGGAATGGATCAGGAAATACCCGATTATGACATGGACAGTGAAGATGAGTCATGGGTCACTGAACAGAGAAAAAAGATGGAGATTAATCCTCTAAAGTTTGAGGAAATGATGGACCGACTGGAAAAGGGCAGTGGACAACAGGTGCTCATAAAGGATTTATAAAAAGTGACATGGTTCAAAATTTTGCACATATTTTAAAAGAGGAAAATGCATAACAACACACAATTTATTCATTTCATAATCAAACATAATGATTCTGGTAATATGTAAATTTACATTGATGGTAATGGTTTGTGTTTCCAACGTATATAATGTGCAAGCAATCCAATTTGCCAGTGGAATCTTTTTGAAACAATATAAAAGTTAACTTTCTATTTATACCTCTTCACATATTAACTAGTTTACTACCAAAGTTCTATTATACTTCCTAAGATATGTTAAAACCAATTTCAAAATTAGCCTGATTTTTCCTTGCTTGATTAACTATAATTTTTTGCACAGGTTGTGACATTACAAGAGGCAAAATTGCTTCTAAAGGAAGACGATGATCTCATTATTGCTGTATATGACTACTGGCTGAATAAAAGACTACGATTGGTAAGGCAACATTAAATTTTTGGGTCTGTTGTATTAGGGGATATAGTATTATTCAGTTGTTCAGCATTTGAAAAAATTAATTGTTAACTTTTGTATTACAGGAACACCCCTTAATCTTGCAAGTAAAAACAGAGAAAAGAGATGGGTCTACAACAAATAATCCATATGTGGCATTCAGACGGAGAACAGAGAAGATGCAAACTAGAAAGGTAAACTTATTTTATATAGCAGCATATAAGTGAATTTAACTTCTTAATATAAATCAGTTCTGTTGAAATGACAAGATAAAGTGTTGTTGAAGAAATAAATCTGTTTGAATAAAGTGAACTAGTATATTTTAACCTTTTTAATGCTGGATTTTAGAATCGAAAGAATGATGAAACATCTTATGAGAAAATGTTGAAACTCAGAAGGGATCTAAATAGGGCGGTGTAAGTATATAAGATTAGAAAAGTGTTATGGTATGAGCATAGTCCTTTAAATTAAAGTTTTTATGATCAAATGTAGTAAAAGGTGTAGATAAATTTTGTTGTATAAAAAAAAATACAGTCAATCTTGTTAAAAATAGATATAACTGTTTTGTTAAATATATACTTTAAAAAATTGCTAAAATATATTTCATTAATAGTAACTGTAAACATGACTCTAATATGATATTCCAGAACGATATTAGAAATGATTAAAAGAAGAGAAAAGGCAAAGAAAGAGATGTTGCAATTAACAATAGAGATCATGGAGAAAAGGTATTAAATATTTCAGTATCTTTATATTAAATATACATGCTTGTTTTGGATATTAACTGACCATGGCAGTTGGAAAGTTATCAAATTATAGAAGCAAATACATGCCAAAAGTATAAAAAAATTGCATTGTTGTTAATCTTTGTAGATATCAAGGTGAAGACTTTGAGGGCAAAATGCTTCAAGAGGCTGAGTCTATCCGACACAAGTTACCATTGTTTATCCCTCCCTACAGCTGGGGCGCTGGCTCAGCGGTAAGAATTGTAGTTGTGTCATGTGTAATCACTCTATCCTACTACAATTCTTGTCTGAAGGCTTTAATGTTGAGGAGGGGTCCAATCAGTAAGTTTGGTAAGACCTGCAGAAGGTACACCTTAAAATATGAACAATTTTCTTTGTAGACTCAACTACAAATATATTTGTAAAGTAATGGATTTGTTATTGTTTATCAGTCTGTTATGCAATAGATATTAATCATTGCAGGAGGAAGGCGTTAGAAAGAAGAGGGAATACAGGAAGAGAAAACACAAGCAGGCCCAGCCTACTACCCCAACAGTACAGCCAAGCCATTACGATATTGATGTTTTACACCCTGAACCCTACAGCTCAGATGAGGATGGATACTCACCGGTAACTTTTTACAGTTTTACTTTTGCACTGACGTTTCTTCTATGTGATCTCTGCAACAAAGGGGTTGTGCATTTATGTTAAAGTTCTTGCATGACAAGCAGCAAGATCCTTGAATTTGGCATCCTAAATTTTTTGTCTGGTTATAAGAAATAAATTATTTAATTAAATGCTGTTTTGTTGCAGCTGTTTTGTATAATGCATTATGATTTGGGCAAGAGAAATTTGGAGGTTATAAAATGATAACATTTTTCCTCTATTAGGGAACTTCACCATCTGATCATGAGGATGAAAATGACCCTGACGGACCCTTTGCCTTTAGGAGAAGAAAGAATTGCAATTACTTTGCAGTATGTATAAAGATGCATGTAAAATCCAAATTTTATATGAAATGTAAAGAAATTTATTCATACATTTTATATTTTATATGCAGTTAGCTTGTATTTATACTATATGTTTCATATGATGAATTTACAGCCTATACTTAATCGACTTGGCAATTGGCCATGGTGTAGTCCTGAAGAGGGAGGATTGGGAAAAAAGAATTTCCGATACAATCTTTGTTCATTATCACAACCTTCTCGATGCATTGGATATGCTCGTCGAAGAGTTGGTCGAGGAGGAAGGTAAATTAACTTTATTTTGTTAGAGACAATAATTTTGGGAAGGGCGGGATTTTCAACCCCCAAATTAAATTAGTCCTACTTGCACCTCAAAATGCACCGTATTTTTACCCAAGAGTATGACCCCCTTCCTGTAGTGTTACAAATGGTTTATAGTTTTGCTTCAAGCAGAGCTTTCAAAATATGCTGGTACCTGGTACTCTTACCAGACTGAGATTGACATTGTACCGACCATAAAATGTTATTAAGGAGGGTTCATAACTGCAATATAGAAGTTTTGCACATAAATTGCTTTGATTGATAAAACACTAGGAAACAGCAGACCATAACCAATACAAGTTTTTGATTTAACCTCTGTACATGTATTATAGGGTGATGATAGACAGAGCTGCCACACCCTGGGATGATGCTCTGCACCAAATCGACATGTCATCAGGGTCTTATTCAGGGATTATTGGGGATTATGTGACGTATATCAGAGATAAAAGAATGTAAGTATCTACCACAATTCTGTTTTGGCTTTGATTATATCTCGTAGTGTCCAAGAGTAATTATTTCATTTCTGCATATCATTTTTGATGAAGTGTAAAAAAAGTATCTCAAAAGTTCATATTTAAGAATGATCTTGTTTTTTCTCCAATTAGTCCACATTTTCGTCCACATTCTCCCACGTTGGAAGAATCTTCGTCTTGTGGTAACCCCTCACATGCTGCTCAGGAAGATGTCGTAGAATTCAACATGGAGAGCTTTCAATCTCACAAGGAACAACTCTTGCAGATGCAACGTGCACAGCAGGAGCAGTTGCTTAAACAAGACACTTCTGATCTCAACAATTCGTGCAATGGTTTAGAACATTCCTTTTCCTCACAACCCACTTCCAGATTTACTTTAGATTCCGATAGTGCCAAATTTGCTGTTTCAGCAGTCATGAACACGTCTCAGATTCAGAATGCGAGATCAGGTGCTGTATTATCTCGAACACAAGCTGCTGCCTCAGAAACCCCCCCAACACCACAGACTGTTG